TCGAGTCCCTCCTCAAATGTCAAGATTAACATACACGATAATGTCCCTGGAAATCCGGATGTTACAATACAATAACAAAATATTTTTAGTCAGTATTATAATCTTAGACATAATATTCTTCTTTACCGAATAACAATGGACTTCTGTTTATAACTTCAGATTCAGGTGAGTTTTCTCATCGTATTACTTAGGTCATTATTGGATTTGTTGTATGTAAGATACCTGCGTGATACTATGCTATGATTGTATTATAGACTAATATGGTTATGATTTTTGCTTGTATGTTTACATGTTATATTGGGATGATGACGATATCGATGTTGTGCCGTCAGTCTACAAGTTCGTTGGATGATGGCAATACGGGTGTCGTTCCATGAGTCTACAGGTTCGTTTGGATGATGACAATACCAATGTTGAGCCGTGAGTCTATAGGTCTGTTTGGATGATGGCGATACCGATGTCGTTCTGTTTCCTTATAGGTCCAAGGGATGAGGTCGAAAGCCCACAAGACCGTTGTGAAATGCGTAGTTGTTACAGTGATGTATGTTGTATTTTGGGGAACTCACTAAGCTTTGTGCTTACGTTTTAAAATTAAATATTTTTAGGTTGTTCTTCTGACAAAGGGAAGGACGCAACTTAATTGTACACACATTTAGAGATTGTTATAGTTGTTACAGTGATGTATGTGGTAATTTGGTCTCACAAGCAACAATAATTTCACAATAGATATTAGCTTGTCAACTACTATTAGCATAAAAATGAATGCATTTGGCATTCAAAACGTGTTTGGGATGAGAAACTCTTTGACAATCAATAATAATATACTATATAAGAATAGTATAGAAAACAATTTGATTTTCTCATGTCCCATACATAAGCAATCACATCATCATTTTGACAACAATAAGTTCCATTCAAATTAAACTAAATTGGACAAAATCACGATGAAAAATAAATATATGTTTATGACATTAACTCCTAAGATTTTTCAAAGTTATCCTGCTATTTTTTCAAAATTTTCAAATACTATGTTCTAAGATACCTTGCAAATGTCATTTAATATATGATAATAACTTAATTAAAAAAAGTAGTAAAGATAATTGAAAGTAGGACCAAAAGGCTTCTATTGTAAACAACTAAACAATGCATGAAAAGGGCAAAGATCAAAATAGAAGATAAGAGATAGGAAAAGGATAGTAAAGATAATTGAAAGGTATCAAAGGGCAGCCCCCTCAGTCAAAGCCCAAGTCCAAAAACAAAATGGAAGTCGACTTTACACTTTCCATTTTCCAAAATTTCCACCCAAACCCCCGCGCCCAACTTCTTCCCTTTGACGCCTACCCCCACTCGACTGCTACACACTCTTCTGCTACATGTATTCATCTATTTGTACCTATACGACCCAGATTTGATTCTCTCTTTATACACGACAGTTGTAATTCCCCTTTTTAACTCAATTCTCTATGTACCCTTTTCATTAACTTCTCTAATTCCCCCAAATTCTTGTTTCTTGATGCGCCTTTTTTTGAACAAACCCAGTTTTAGTATTCCAATCAATATTATTCGATCTGCTTTCTTTAATAGCAACAGAAGATACCCTTTACCCGTTAAGAATCACAATCTCAATTTCTTTTTCAGAAGAATTTCATCAATGGCGACAACTCCAAAGCCAAATGAAGAAGGAGCCGCGAAGCGTTTTTGGGATAAATTTAGTAAGGAATCGAATTTGACACTCTACACGCCTTTTGTGGTCTCTTTGGCTTCTGGGAATCTTAAGATTGATACATTTGGCCATTATGTCGCTCAGGATGTTCATTTTTTCAAATGCTTTGCTCAAGCGTAAGTAATTTTGGCTCTTGAATTGTTTAATTTTGCCCATTTGGGGGTATCGGAGTGTATTTGATTTTGGGGGTTGTTTTTTCGTTATAGATATGAATTAGCAGAGGATTGTGCAGATGATGACGATGCTAAGGATTCCATTGTTGAATTAAGAAAGAATGTTCTCTACGAGCTTAGACATCATGCCTCTTTTGTTCAAGTAAGATTTCATTACATTTATATATTGATTTTGTTCCCTTGCCTTCTTGCTATGTGTTCTTTATGTAATTAGTATTTCCATGGCCGAATAAAGAATGTAGATTGATTTCAATCGGGTATTGCCGAAATGTCTAATGAAGTTTCTTAATGTGTTGTTGAACAACGTGACATTTTCTTTGCGTTATTAGTATCTTGATGTTCTATAGTGGTAGAATCTACAACTAGTTAATAAGTATTATCTTATTATATTAGTTAATTTGATATAAAGGGAGAATTTACAACTGATTGAAAACTCATTATATAATAAATCGTTGATAATGGTTGAAATTTTTAACATTCTTTCCATCAAGTTGTTCTTCCCCTTATACTCTTGTCCTAATTTAATTACAAAATGTATGTATAATGTATGTGCTTGATAAAATCTTTTTGTTCAAGTATATAAATGAAAAAAATGTGAAAATAGAGCAATGCCTTTTTATCTATTTCTCCTTTAAACAGACATTTATGAGTAAACAACTAAGATGCTGTTTCTTTTTGACTTAATACGAAAGCACATCTTAATATAGAAAGTCAGGAAAAGGAGGCTTTTTCCATTAAGTCTCAACAAATATTTATGTTTTATGGTTAATTTTCTATAAAGGAGCTCTTTTCTTTTATTTCACATTCTGAATTTGGATATATACAAAAATGAATTTCTCTCCTCTAGAACCTTCACTATGATACCTTATGCAAAAAGTTTTACCATTTTTGTTTTGTTTTCTTGTCATTTGGGTCATGACCTGAGGGTATAATTGGAAATTGAAAATCTACCTAATAAACAGATAAATAAAAGTATATTGATGTTTCTTTCATTTTTTTTTATAAAATTAAACATGTGAATGCAGGAATGGGGTGTAGACTTATCAAAAGAAACAACACCAAATGCTGCAACAACAAAATACACAAATTTTTTATTAGCAACTGCATCTGGGAAAGTTGAAGGAGTAAAAGGTCCAGGAGAACTTGCAACTCCTTTTGAGAAAACTAAGGTTGCAGCTTATACACTGAGTGCAATGGCTCCTTTCATGAGGCTTTATGTTTTTCTTGGAAATGAGCTTAAATCATTTGTTGATTTTGATGGAGATGAACACCCTTACAAGAAATTGATTCACAAATACTCCTCTGAAAGTTATCAGGTTTGAAGTTCGACTTTTTGGTTTGACTTTTTTGGGGTTAAAGTGTGAGGTCAAGTTCATAGAAATAAGTTGATGTATGATGCTATATGTAGATTGTAGAATGTGGTGTAGTGTATATTCTCTTATGGGTTAATCTCATAAAAAAACTTGCATTTTTTCATTTTTTTCATTTTTTTATTTGACCCTTTTAGCAGTTTTTTCGGAAAAAGCTAAAAAAAGTTGAGGGTTTTTCCGAAAACGATTAAAATATTGAGGATTCTTTTTGGAAAAAAATAAAAAAGTTAAGGGTTTTTTTTTCGGAAAAACTGAAAAAATGCAAGGTTTTTTTAGGAAAAAAAATAAAGTTGAGGTTTAATCAGGAAAATAAACAATATATAAGGTCTTTTATGAGATTAACTCTTCTCTTATTATGGCTATTTATATCCTATTAAGTGTTGTTTGGATAAATGATGTTTAACAAACATTGAAAAAATGAAGACGTATTTGGGGAAATGGAAGGAAAAGTATAAATGAGGGCAAATCTGTAAAAATAATAAAAACAGTTATATTCAATTCCCATAGGTGATTTTGTAAAAAAATTAGTGAAAGCCTCATTTTTCTGACTTTTTTTAATAAGTTGTTCTTTCTGCTATATGTCAAAAAGAAACACTTGTATATAGTATTATAGCTTACAACTTTAAGTCATGTTGACATTAAGTCCATTAAATAAAAAATAAAAAAAACACCTTAAATTCATTGTCTGTTGCTCTCTTTGAAAATGGAAAAAGTTATAAGTTTGATTGTTTTACTTTGGGTTAATCTCATAAAAGCCCTTATATTTTGTGTTTTTTTCTTTTTTGAAAAAAAAAAAGAACAATTATAAACATGATATCAATTTTTCTTTTTTGAAATTTAGGCAACAATGCTTCAAATTGAAGACTTATTGGACAAATTAAGTGTCTCTTTGACTGGTCAAGAACTGGATACAATGCAAAAGCTTTATCATCAAGCATTGAAACTTGAGATGGAATTCTTTTTAGCTCAACCTGTTCATCAACCAACTGTTCTTCCATTATCAAAGCTTCATATTCCTTCAGAAAATCAACTCATGATTTTTTCTGATTTTGACTTGACATGCTCAGTTGTTGATTCATCTGCAATTTTAGCTGAGATTGCTATTGTCACTGCACCAAAATCTGATCAAAGTCAACCCGAAAGTCAAAGTCAAAGTCAAATTGTTAGGATGCCATCAGCTGACTTGAGAAACACATGGGAGATGCTCTCAAAAGAGTACACTGAAGAGTATGAACAGTGTATGGAAAGTATGTTGGCCAATGAAAAAGGTAATTCCTTGTTTTATAATATATTCTTTTAGGGGTAATTAAATAATCAAAAGAATATATGATAACAGAAAACTCCTAAAAATAGAAACTTGTAAAATGTTAACATGTATTGGATTACATATTGCTAATATATCATATATGTAGTTTGTTATTATGGGTAAAAAAGTAAAGAGTAAATTACACGAATGGTCCCTATGGTTTGGGGTAATTTGCACGTTTGGTCCCTAACTTATTATTTTTTTTTTTTAACTCGGAAGGTCCCTACGGTTTGTTTTTATTGCACGCTTGGTCCTTGTCTTACCTAAAAAGACTATTTTGCCCTTGATTTTTTAATTTATTTAAATAAACACACCCCCAACCCCACTTCCACCTCACCTCACCTTACCTTACTTGCCCCACCTTATTTAAAAAATCAAGGGCAAAATAGTCTTTTTAGGTAAGACAGGGACCTAAGCGCGCAACAAAAACAAACTGTAGGGACTTTCCAAGTTAAAAAAATAAGTTAGGGACCAAACGTGCAAATTACCCCAAACCATAGGGACCATTCACGTAATTTACTCAAAAGTAAAGTATGTTTATAAGTTTCATGCTACATATTTTGCTATTATCTGTAGAGAATGTAGATAAGTAGAGGGTAAATAAGTAATTTTAGTCTGTTATCAAAGTGAGTAATTAACTATTTGGTGGTTTTACAGTTGAGAGTTTTGAGTATGAAGGGCTGAAGAAAGCAGTTGAAGAATTAGTGGAATTTGAGAGAAAAGCAAACATGAAAGTGATTGAATCAGAAGTGCTGAAAGGATTAAATGTTGAAGATATAAAACGTGCAGGAGAACGTCTTATTATGCTTGATGGATGCATGGGTTTCTTTCAAAGCATCATCAACAATCAAAACTTAAATGTCAATGTTCATGTCTTATCATATTGTTGGTGTGCTGATCTTATTAGATCAGCTTTCTCATCAGGTATTAATATTATATATCATATCATATCATATAATAAGTCATTCACTTTTCAAAACAAAAACAATCAATTTATCAATCTAACCACTTAACTGTTTGTTTTCTATTGGTTTTTAATAGTTAAGTGGTTAAATTGATAAATTTGAAACTTGTGAGGATGCTCAAAATATGTGGCCTTTTTAAAAACTTTCTATAGTGATTAAACTGTTGTACGTTTTTTCATTGTTAAAAAAAAATCATTTTTTACAGTTTCCCAGATTTGATATCATGGAAAAAAGTACAATAAACCACAACTTAGTCTCACTATTTTGTTATTTTATCCATTCAAAAGCTGAACTATTCATCTTTATTGGATTTGCTATTGAACTATGATTCTAGTAATCATAAAAGATAATAGTTTTGTGGCTAAATCGATAAAATGATGAAAGTAAGTTGTGTTTTTTTTTTGTACTAAAAAGTTATTCATTTATGAATATTATAATAATAGTTTCGATGGCTAAATCATTCAAAGTAATAGTTGTGTGGCCAATCGATAAAATTGTGAAATTACATTGACCTTTCATGTACTGAATTATTATTCATTTATAGTTATTATAATAATAGTTTAGTGGCTAAATCATTAAGATATAATAGTCAATTGACTAAATCGATAAAGGGTTAATCTCAAAAAAGACCTTATATTTTGTGTTTTTTCCGGATTAGACCTCAAACTTTTTTTTGCCTGAAAAAACCTTGTATTTTTTCATTTTTCTTGATTTGGCCCTTTTAGTCATTTTTTGCCAAAAAACTTGTAAATTGTGAGGGTTTTTTCAAGAAAAACTAAAAAAATTTATTTGGAAACATTTAGAAGGTTGAAGGTTTTTTTTTTCGGAAAAGAATAATACAAAGTTGAGGGCTTTTTCGGAAAAAATGAAAAAATACAAGGTTTTTTTCAGGTAATTTTTTTTAGGTTTAATCCGGAGAAAACACAAAATATAAGGTCATTTTTTAGATTAACCCATCGATAAAATGATAAAAGTACATTCTCCATTTCTGTATTTTGTTTTTCCTTAAGTAACTAGAGAAAACGATTTTCTCAACACTCATAAAAAGGTACAATGTTTTAATCACTAAAGAAAATAAAGAAATAGCTAAATCAACAAAATTATGAAATTACAAGTGCTTTTTTCTACTTTTCTCTATAATTTATTTACATAAAATTCAAATCCCTTAACTAAATTATGGTTTCTTTCATTAAACAAACAGGAGGTCTACACAAAATCAACATACACGCAAACGAATTCGAATACCAAAATTCATTATCCACAGGAGAAATCATCAAACAAGTCGAATCCCCAATCGACAAGCTTCAAGCTTTCACCAACATTCTCAAAAACAATCCCCAAACGGGCCCCACAAATCTCACAATCTACATCGGGGACTCAGTTGGAGACTTGCTATGCCTTCTAGAAGCTGACATAGGCATAGTCATAGGGTCAAGTTCAAGTCTTAGAAGAATCGGGACCCACTTTGGCGTATCTTTTGTCCCTTTATTTCCCGCTTTAGTCAAGAAACAAAAGGAATGTATTGAAGGAAGCTCTTTTAAATGGAAGGGGCTTTCGGGTGTTCTTTATACGGTTTCTAGTTGGGCTGAAGTACATTCTTTTATAATTGGTCTTTAAAAAAAAAAAAAAGAAAGAAAGAAACTGGTTTTTATGTGTAGTAGTTATAGCATGAAAAAAAAAGAGGTGTCTTTACGTATAATAGAAGGAAGATACAACTTCTCATGGCTGATTTTATTACTAGCCATTGCTTATTTTTCATAATCTTGGCATATTTTGTTTCATCTTTTGTAATAGGTTTTTGGCTCATATATGGATGCGATTGTTTTGGGATGCCAATTCGTGAAATGGGTATGAATCTTTTTTGTTTTCTTGTTGATTTGAGTATAAATGAAAGTATAAAGTTGTAATAAGTAGAAATGAAATAAAGAAAAGTGATTTGTTGTTATTTGTTGCGTTTAATAATCAGCGTTTGTGTATTGGTATTGTTTTTGACTCTTGTAGGCTGAGAGATTTTGTTGCAGAGATGAATGGTTTCTTCATAAGATGGGTGGGAGGGAGGATCTATTATCATAATTCAAAGTTTTGACTTTTGTTTCTACTTTGATATAATTCAGATTTTGATTCAAATTTTTGGTTGGTAAATATGTGAAAACGCTTGTGATGATTCAAATTTAATGCACCAGATGATGTTTTTCTATTGATATGGATGATGCTGGAAAAAGCTTCATTATCATCAATGTCTAAAATTCATGTTATAAATGTATGGGTCCAGAGAATTATATAACCAATCAAAATGAATTTTGGTTAAAAGATAATTGTTTAACGACACAAAAACAGTTATTTTCAAAGCCTTTTTTGCCAATAACTTTTTTTTTTTTTACCATTTTTAATAATTTTTAAGGTAACCAGTGGTGCACTAAGCTACCTAATTTTTTGAGAACTGGCCCAACAAAACCAAAACCGGTTTTTCTATAGCCGGTTTCAGTAATAGTTTTTATAATAACCGAAAACCGATTTTTTTTACCGTTTTTCTAAAAAAACGATTTTCACTTCAAAAAAACCGAACCAATTATAAATGAAACAGATCTACAAAAAACTGGTTATAAAAGAATTTATAAAAAAAACTGTAACTGATTTAAAACCAGTATTTATGCACCTTCAGTGGTGACCAAGGTTGCCACGTTTATAGTTGCTGCCAATAATTTGTTAAATACTTCGTTTCCTAAACTTGAAAAAAAGAAAAATACCTTGATGTGAGATTTGAACTAGAATCATCTATGTTAGAAGTCAAAAAGCATTGCCAATGAGCCAACATGATCATGTATTTTTATAACCCTTTAGTATGGTGGTGATTTGGTGATTTATTGTACGTAAAAAATATTAACCTGCAATACTTGATCAAAATCACTGTTTTTGAACAACTTAAATGAGTTTGATGATAAAGATAAACCATGTAAAAAAAAATAACTAATATTTTATTAAATGATTTTCTTTATATAATATGATTTAGAGGCCATACCTGTTGAATCAAATCCAACCCAATTTCATAGACTTTCCAAGCAAACACATCACGTTGACCATTGAAAAAAATAACAAAGAAAAAAAAAAATTCATTTTATTTCTCAGCCTTCACTGCCCTGCGCTCGGTATATCTTTCTCAGCTGCTCTCGGCCTATCTTTCTTAAGTCCACCGCTAGCTGCCGCCACCGGCTCGGTTAAAAGTTTCTCTTTCTCAGCTGCACCCGCATCTCTTTGTCCGCTGCTCTCGATCTCTTTTTAGGTTCAAATATACATTTCTTCATGTTCAAAATTCTTCACAATAAATAACAGTTATAATTTGTTAGTAGTAAGTTTTTTGTTAGATTTTCTGAATTGGGATAAGCTAATTTTGTCTTTTTCACCAATGATTTGATCAAATAGGATCTGTTAAGCATACTTTAATGGCATCTTCTTCATCATCATCCACTCAGAAGAGGTATATATATGATGTATTCTTGAGCTTTAGAGGTGAAGACACCCGAAAGAATTTTGTCGATCATCTTTATGATGCTCTTGAACGGCAAGGTATTCACACTTTCAAAGATGATGAGAGACTCGAGAAAGGAAAAAGGATTAACGATGAACTCTTGAAATCCATTGAAGAGTCAAAATTTTACATCATTGTATTCTCTAAGAACTATGCATCTTCGTCTTGGTGCTTGGATGAACTTGTGAAGATTATAGAATGCCAGAAGGCGAAGGATCAGATTCCATTCCCTATTTTCTACAATGTAGATCCCTCTGAAGTCCGCAAACAACTTGGGCCCGTTGGAGAAGCTTTAGCCACACATAACAAGGTAGAGGTTGGGAAGTGGAGAGAAGCTTTGAAAGAAGCAACCAATCTAGCTGGGTGGGATTTGAAGAACACTGTTGATGGGTAAATTTTTTCATCGTTTTGACTATTGTCAAGAATGAATAATGAAATATGCATATGTGTGTATGTTACATCCCTTAACTGATTGTTCATGTGGGATATCAGGCAAGCTAATTGATTCTCGTTTTTAATTCTTCAGGCATGAAGCTAAAGTCATCAATAAAATTGTTGAAAAGATTTCTGTGGAGTTATGTTTCACTAATTTGGAAGTCGATGAAAAATTAATAGGCATGGAAAGTCGGATAAGAGATATAGTTTCCTCTTTGGAAATGGGTGTTGAAGATGTTCGTATGATAGGTATCAAGGGGATTGGAGGGGTGGGAAGACGACTTTGGCAACAGCTGTTTTTGACAAAATATTATTTTCTTTTGAAGGTAAAAGCTTTGTTGAGAACGTAAGGGAAGTTTCCAAAGGATCATTGTCTGGGTTGCGATAATTGCAAGAACAAGTACTTTCCAATGTTTTAAATGATAGAAATTTCACCATTGGGAATGTTCATGAAGGGAAAAGCATAATGAAAAAGATTTTGTGTGGCAAAAAGGTTTTACTTGTTTTAGACGATGTGGATCATTTAGACCAATTGGACGCATTAGCTGGTGGGATTAATTGGTTCAAACCAGGAAGTAGAGTTATTATTACAACAAGAGATGAGCAAGTGCTCAAAGCACATAGAGTGAAACTAAATCATGATATCAATCTGTTGTCACAAGATGAAGCAACGTGCCTGTTCAGTAGGTATGCATTTGGTAGAGATATTCCAATTCAAACGTACAAAGATCTCACACTTGAAGTTGTACATTATGCTGCTGGTCTTCCCTTAATAATAAAAGTTTTGGGTTCATTTCTTTGTGGTAAAGACAAGCTTGAATGGAAAGATGTGGTAAAAAGACTAAAATCAATTCCGTTGAAAGAAACTTTAGAAAAATTGGAATTAAGCTATACTGAAAGGTTGGCAGAAAGAACGAGCAATTAGAGCACTAGATAGCTGTGGATTCCATGCTAGGAATGGTTTAAGAGTTCTTTTGCATGATTCATTTTACTGCTATACATCTATTGGTTTGTCGTTACTTCATTGTTCTTCTTTTTCTTCTTTCTTGTTTATGATAGGTTCTTAACAACCTCAGATTCCTTGACTTGAGTTACTCAAATTTGAAGACCCTTGATTGTGGCTTATTTCCGAATCCGGAGAAGTTAAATCTTGAAAAATGCTCTGATTTGGCTGATCTTCACGCGCCCATTGGATGTCTAAGAAGGCTTGTCTACTTAGACTTATATCATTGTTGCGGATTGAAATCTTTTTCGTTTGTCATGCAACTGGAATCACTAGAGGTCCTTGATCTAAGTTATTTATATCTAACTGAGTTTCCAGATATACTTCCATGGCACTATAACTATAGTTTGCTAGAGCTTAACCTTTCAACGAACAATTTTAAAGAACTACCCTCATTGATTGGAAATCTTCAAAAGCTTTTTATTTAGATCTCAGTCGGTGCCCCAACCTCCAGAGTCTGCCACAAAGCATATGTAGTTTACGACGTTTAAAAAACTTTGACCTTCAAAGCTGTGCAATAGAGGAATTACCAGAGGATCTTGGCCTTTTAGAATCTTTAGAAAAACTAAATTTAACGTTTACACCTGTGAAACATCTCCCTAATAGCATTTGTATGTTGAAACATCTGAAAATCCTACTTCTTACGGGTGGTAAAGTTCTTAAGAAGTTACCCGAGGATCTTGGCCTATTAGAATCTTTGGAGAAACTAAATCTAGCCTATTGCAAGATAAGAGATGTTCCGAGTAGCATCTGCAAGTTGAAACATCTCAAAAAGCTTGACCTTCACAACTGTGATCAACTTGAGAGATTGCCCGAGAAACTAGGAGACATAAAATGCTTAGAACAGTTAGATGTAGAAGGTGCAGGTATAAGTCATCTTCCCCAGAGCATTTCTTTACTAAATGGTCTTAAAATCGTTGGATTTAAATAAGAAGATTCAGTTATATAGACCTATGTGTCAAGAACAAAGATAAGACAGATGATTCTGAGAAGAATAGAGCATCAACTAAGAACTATTAAAAAAAGGTCCTCGCCATGTTCTTTAATAATTGTCTTACTTTGTATCTGAATTTAGAAATTATTTCTGTTATCATATATTTCCTTATATTTGTGTGTTTGTATTCATATAGGATCAGTATTAGTATGTCTTTATCCTCATTCTATTATGTTTCTTAGGCCTATAAATTGTTGTCTTATATCCACTATTTTGTAACATAAATTCCACATTCAATATAGAATATATATATTTTCTCTAGGTTCTACTATCGTATTTGTTGGTGATTTTAGTGTCACCATGTCATTTTATGTAATTGGAACTAACATGTGAGCTAAGGGGCTTTATAATTTGTACTCTAATATATGTAGGGTTTGTGCGGAGTGTACGCATTTATAAGATCGAATTAGAAGCCGGTTCGACGACAATTTGGCGGGGTCTAGGGGCAGCGCCCCTAGCGGGCCCAAGAGGCAGAGCCCCTGGCTGGGGTGCCGCTGGGTCCCGCTGTGTAACATCCCAAAATACAAAGGTAATTTTTTTTTAAAACAACCAAAACACACATTTATCATTTATTCAAACCCTTAAAGGTATTTTATAATAAAAGCAATTATCAGAGTACAATCCCAAAATCTCTAGGTTGCGGAAAATATGGGTGTATGCGCTGCGATCAAGCCGGACATGTGATAACCCCATTTTCACGACCAGAAAAGACCGATTTCGTTTATGCTTTTTAATAAAATCAGAGTAACTTTTTAAAGAAAAGTGTTGCGTAATTTGTTCCCAAAACAAAATATGATAAAGATTTATCAACACATTTCCTTAAAGAAATGTATTTTCATTGTATTACAAAACTCGGGATGTCAACATCGATACAGATCAAAAGCATAAACCAAAAACATCTTAGGCCCCAAAACAAAATCTGGCCTCAAAAACCACATAGGCCTTACAACATTCTATTTATTTTCTACTGGCCTAAAATCCATAATCTCTCGTCAGATCTATGCTCTTGCCACTACCTGTAATACAAGAAACTGAGTGTGTCAGGCTGGGGAGCTTGGTGAGCATATAGGGTTTTCAACCCACAATAAATAAGTTTATTAATTTCATCAAACCAAACAAACCCGATTACCCGTTCCCGTTATCCTCACTTTACGTCCCTAAAACATCTAATAAAAGGGACCTAGCCTAAAGAATTTCATCGGGGTGACAACACTGCTTAGGGGATTCCTAAGCAATTTATGTCAAATATGGCAACCATGAGGGGGATGGAGTACAACTGGTGAGCACGTAGTTTAAATAAACACCTACAGGTTGTGAGCCTGCTAGCGTTCCACTGGACTGTCTAGAAAAGCCTGTGGTCGTCATCCGTACTCTGCTAGATGACTGGATCATCGTCAAACCGATGCCTCTCATCATTTTATTTCGTCACACACCACCTATTACATCTACCCATGTTTTACCCAACATATTTGTAGATATAAAACACATGTACAGTTCAGATATGAAAACGAAGTTTAAATCTTTCATA